AGAAAAGAAGGTGGGGGGAGGGGAGACAGGTGTTGTCAATAATTCCAGTCTTTTCCACCACCAAAAACTTTATCTGAGTGCTAATAAACAGCAAAAGAGGCCAGATAAGTCTTCCCACTTCTCTCTCCTCTCTCCATCCTCTGGCTGGGGTGCTAATGAGAAGAAAAGTGTTTGCAGAGGAGAATCAGAAGAAAAACCCATGTTCTAAAGGGCCCACCACCTGGTCCTCAGCCTTAGGTGCTGAGAAGGGAAAGGGGTGCCAGCCGGGTTAGAACCCCAACCGGTAGCATGATGTGGCAGGACTGGACCCAAGAAGATGAAACTAACAAAAAACTCCCCAGTCTTAACAAATCCCCCTCAGAAACACGCTTTAAAAATGAGAAAGAATTTGAACTTTGGCCCCTAACCATCCCCCCTCTCCTAATCAACCATAGTAAGAGCTACCACCAAGCTTTTGACCTGAAACGAATCTGGGCATCCAATTGGGAATTTGGGTGCATCCCCCTCGTCTTAAAGACAAGGGGTCTGCAGCTCAGAGCAGCTCTGTGTCCAAGATTCAATGGCGGGTTCGTGGCACCACTGGGAGCAGGTGCTCAAGGCTCTGGATTTCTCTCTCAGAGCTTTTTCTCCTCCGTGACTCTGAAGTCATCACAGCTACAGAGACCGGCAAGTGGTGAGAAATGAACATGGGAGAGTGACACATTTGGAGATAAAGGCCACACTGATGCCAGGTGGGAAGCTGGAGATGCAAAACCTTTTCTGCTGGAGCTTCCAATGGCAATTAATACACACAGCAGGTTTTCAAAGTGAATAACGACACAAATGCGCTCATGTCACAGCAACCTGAGATGACCACAGTCTCTGGATTCAGTGGGGGTGGGGAGGGGGCAAAAGGGGGATTAGACATGTGTCATCATTGTTTCCCAGACTCCTATCCAAGACAGGGGTGGAGAAGGACTCACTGTGGGCTATTCGAACCCCATTATTAGGCACTCTGAGTCTAATCCCCTCACCCCTCCCTGCTTCCAAACACAGCCCCTAACTCTTAGCCTTCTCAAGGCTTCTCTCTCCCCTTCCCACCCCCCACACCACTACTATTCAGAAACACAGCCTAGAAATTCCCAGCACAGCCCTCTCCCCTTTTCCCACCCACCCCCACCCAACACCTTCTAACCACTGCTTTTAAAACTCTGATGCAAATCACAGGCTTCAAAAACCTTCCTTGGGTGACAGTTTTACGATGCTAAGCTCCATTCATCCATATGGCCTGACAGACTGTGAAACACTAGTAACCGGACCAATAAGAAAAACAAATTAGAAAAACACCACAACACCTCATCTCGCCCCAGTCACTGACACAACTAAAGAAAACTTTGGAACTTGCTATAGATCATAATATCGGGCTCTCTGCCTGTGAAACAATCATCTTTTCAGAGTTCCGGACCACACAGAGGTTTTACCCACTTACCTACTCGCCACCCATCCCAGCCCCAGGCCATACTTTATCTTTCCTTGTTAAAGAGCTACATAGTCAAAGACTATCTCGAGCTGGGAATCACACTTACAGTGGCTCCTGCTGGATAAACTGAGGCTGCCCAAAAACTCTTCAGCAGGTTGTGGTCTTTCTTTGACCCTGGGCTTGCCACATTTGGCTACACTTCTGTCTTCTACTGACTTTCAGAACATTCAAAAACCACAAAAGTTATTTTGTCGAGGTTGGGATAATAAACAGACCTGGATTCTTGTGTCTTTTATGACCCACCCCCCCACCACCACCACCACTACCATCGGTGGAAACTCTGCTTTGAAAACAGAGAAGTCAGCCTCAGTTTCCTTTCTGTTTCTGGTGCAAAACAAAGCCTGCTGACCGTGGCATTTTATTTTTTGCCTTGATCTGAGCAGAGGGCTCTGAAGCAGCTTTAGACATTATGGTCTTTCTCAGATGTATCCAAATTCCAGCTCCCTGCATGATTGCATAAAGACAGAGAAAGATGAGATGTCCAATTAAGTGTCCTCTGAATGCCAGCCCACCTTGGGGATCTCAGCATTGTCCATTCTCTTAGCCATCCCTAGAGGTCCCCCAGGTGGTCTGCAAGGCAGGCTATTTTCAGAGATTTACCCTGGGACAATGCCTCTACTTGGGTTCTGGCAGAAATTAATATCCTTTATGGGTATCTTATCAAAACCAGACACTCTTCCTGCTGAAAAATAATGTGTGCTAATGAAGTTTGGAGAATTCAGGGATTTTTTTTTTTTTTTTTTGAGTGGCAACCAGAAGTAGATGGAGAAGGTGTCTCTTAGGCATCTGTTGGCTTAAAATATCTGAGGGTCCTTTTTCATAAGGGGCTAAAATAATGTCCATAAAAGGCAACAAGTTCACAAAGTCCCAACCTCCATATCCCCCACTTAGTACCTACCCACGGTCCCCCTACTCAGACAGAAAGAGCTAAGAGGAGATTAGAACCAGGAATGCAGCTCCCCCCACCCTCTCTTCCCTGATATCTAAACTGAGTGCCACAGCAAGAGTGAGGTCTGGCTCCCAAGTGGTCACAATTGCACAACATTCACAGGCACTGAAAACACTTTAGATTACAATACAGTATATCTATATCCTAGGATGTATAAAGAGATGAAGATTTGAAGTCCATCTACTCACATGACCTGTTATTTGACCTTGGCTAAGTAAGTGTGTATTTACTTCTCCCAGAATTGTGTCCTTAATGACAAAACAGATATAGACACATACCTCCAAGCAAGGGAAACTACTTACAAAAGAGTTTCAGGGGACGCCTGGGTGGCTCAGTTGGTTGGGCAGCTGCCTTTGGCTCAGGTCATGATCCCAGTGTCCTGGGATCGAGTCCCACATCGGGCTCCTTGCTCATCAGGGAGCCTGCTTCTCCCTCTGCCTCTGCCTGCCATTCTGTCTGCCTGTGCTTGCTCTCTCTCCCTCTCTCTCTCTCTGACAAATAAATAAATAAAAATAAAATCTTTAAAAAAAAAAAAAGAGTTTCAGTACAATTAAGTATCTGTAGTTTCACAGTTAGAAGCATGACGAAATAGTTCGCTGGTCTCATTCTTTTTAAACAAATAGTTACTTGAGGAAAAGCCCTGTTGGTTTATATAGAATAAGTAAATAATAATAACAGTTATTCTTTTCTAAGCAGGCAGTTATAATAATAGATACGTATGTGCATAATCAAGTCTGGCAGAAGGTGGCAGACATTCCCAGTTAAGTGCATACAAACCAGGGTTTTGATAACTTAATAAAAGAGTAAGTTGTTTAAAGTGTTGATAGCAGATTCGGGGGAGGGTTGTTTACTTGAACTAGAATATCGAGAAAGATTAGAATTTATATTAAAAGTATCAGGTTTCCTAGATATGCAGAAATCAACCAGAATACGTTATGTGACTTACTTCTACATAGACCTTTACCAAATCCATATCTATGTTACCTGCATGGGTTTTACCTCACTACATGGCCCTTCGCTTGCTTGTCCATGTAAGAAGTGAGGGTAACTCACAGTCTAAGCTCAGACAATGTAGCTGCTAAATTAAATAATGTGTAATACCCATTTACACATCATACAAGTCTACAATGCTGTTAAATTCTATTTGTCCAGATGTGACTGCTTGGTTGTGAGGCTACCCGCCGTGTCCTCTTTGTGATCTGATCAGTCCAGGCGGCTCCTGTTTCTGCCTCTAACACCCTGTTGGGCAGTAATAAGATGTTAAAGGCGCCAACAGAGAGAAACCAGACTGTCAGCTTCAGAGAGGAAGGGGGTGAAGGGTACGAGGAGGAGGAATAAGAAAGGGAGTTGAGGGGAGATCAAAGACAGGCAGGAAGAAAGCCAAACTGCTAAGAGTGGAGATGTGGTTCCAAGGAGCTTGGGACCCTAAGGAAGACCCCAAAGCAATGAGATTCAGATTGTACCATCCAGTCACCCGAGCTATTAAATTATTAAATGTCCCACATGGAAAAGCTATAATGAAAAATGGTCCATACTCTGGGTAGGCAGAGCCCTACAGAGGTGTTGCATGAAACCCGAGCTTACTTCTCCCCGGCATATTAACCTACCACCACTTTATTCCCCAATCCTAGAGGAAACCTTTGTGTGATGGTTTCTGTAGGGGGCGTCCGTGTTGTTAGCTTTTTTTTAGGAAAGGAAAAGAGAGACTCCGACGCACACAGAGAAAATGCTAATGTCGTTCAGCTCCCTTTCATTGTCAGGAGGGACACAAGAGGATAAAAACCTAGCTCTCCAAACCATTCTCCCTGCTTCCCTCCTCCCAACACCACTATCCATCCCTTTAGCTGGATGTGTCTCTGCGCTTTGTTCTAATTTATCCTATGCATAATTTATTTACGTGTGTATTGTTTCCCGATCAGCAACTTTTAAAAACAAATGAAATGTATAAGATGTTTTATTAAACAAGTTGTTTTCTAAAATTAAGGCTTATGGTGTAGGTTTCCCAATAACAACGTGTGTGCTCCTGCATTAGGAGTTAAAAACCGTCCGGAGCGCAGGAGCCAAGCCTCGCGGGGAGAGGGAGGTGAGTATTGTTTACACCCCCTTACCTCCAGGGAAAGGGTTTGCGATGCAAAAAGGAGAGGCTAACTAAAAATGACCACTCAACTCCCATCTAGAAAAAACAGGCAGGGGTGTTGTGTATATGCTAGCGCGTGCGTGTGCGTGTGTGTGTGTGGCGACACAGAATTACAAAACATCTCACTGCAACTGTCTCTAATTATACAAAGTACGAGTATAATAATTCAAAACTAATTCCACTAAACCAGCCCGCTTCTCCGTCCCTTCCTCCACCTCTAATGCCACCCTACTCAGATACCCTCGCCAAACACGCACCCTTCTGCAGTTCAAAAAACAAACAAACAAAAAACTGGAGCGAGCTGGGAAACCCTGGAGCGTAGAGATACTGCGCCTGCCCGCGCGTGAGCAGGCTCCAGGGTAACGATGGTACCGCTTTCCCAGTAGGAAACAAACCTGGCGCGCATGTGAAATTGATTTCTCTAACTTGAGTTTACCAGGTGGCATCCGCCCGCCTATGTGATTTCGGCTGGAAATGGGGAAACTGCAAACCAGCTGTAGGTTCGGTAGAAACTCACAGCATCAGCGGTGTGGCTGCGCGAGCGACCCGGAGCGAGGATGCGGCGAAGTTCGCCCATTTATTCTGCCATAAAACATGTTCTTTCTCGGGTGAAACGCTGTGGCGTTCAAGTGCAGTGTATCGGAGTCTGCGAGCGAGAACTAAAGCCGGGAGCCGCTCTGTGATCAACATCATCTTCCAGTATCCTCTTAACGGCAGCTTTAATATACATGTGTATTTAAAACTCCAATACGGGGGGCATTACTACCTTTTTCCCTATTACTGATGGGAGATAAGCTGGTGCAAACACGTGCTATTATCCTCGCGCGTTCCTTCGCGCTAGGAACACCCCCCCACCCACCCCCCTCCCCCGGTGCGAACCTGGTTTTCAACTCCAGGAGGAGCCTGGGGTGCCAACGCGGTGCGCTGAGTTGAAAGAACCTGCACCGGCATCGGTCACACACCGGGGAGAATTCTGCATAAAACGCCCCCCACCGGCACCTCCCCCTTCCTTCGCCCTCGGCTTCCAGCCCAGCTGGGAAGTCCTGGTCCCAGAGGCGCGGACCCCCGAGCCACGTCGCGCGGCGATCTGGAGGGGAGCTCTCCTCTGCCAACATCATTGCCAATAGCACCCCTTGTAGAGCGACGCTAGTTTTCCGAAGCTCCGCGATTGCGTTCGGACTTGGCGGCTTAACAGTTCCACCGACTGGAAGGAAGGAAGGAAGGAAGGAAGCCAGGATGAAAAGGAGGAGGAAGGAAGGCAGGCAGGAATTGGCTGTCGGACTCGGGGACTGGTCCCCGCATGTCCTCGCCCAGCCCGCCCCCCTGCGTCCGGGATCTGGGCGTCCGCTCAAAGTCTCCCGGCGGCGGCCAGAGGCACCTGCCCCTCGCTCTGGCCGGGAGCAGAAGCTGCCGGCTTAGGCGGGGAGCCCCAAGCTGTCTCTCCGCCCGCTTCGGCTTTTCACCCAGAGGAGGCGAGAACACCATTCATAAGACCTGCAGCTTCCCTGCCTCCAAATCAACCCCAAGTTAACCCGAGTCGTTAATATACTACAGCCAGCTCACCCACAAACACACACACACACACACACACACACACACACACACACACACACCGGTGACCGCCCGGAGCGCCGTCACGCTCGGGGGGCTACCCCGGCAGATAAGCCCCGGGCAACCACCTGGGCCCCAGGGCTCCCGGGACCCACTGCTCCCCCTGCGGTCCTCCCAACTCCGGAAGGTTTGCACAAACTCCCCGCAAGCTATCGGAAGGCGTAAAGCGCCCGGCAAACTCCGGAGGTGCCGCGGTCCGCTCGCCCCGGCGGACCCAGCCGCCCGGCAGGGGCTGCGGACTCAGGAGGCGCGGGGCTCAGCCAAGTGCACCCAGGCGGCCCCTGCCCGGCTCTCGCCCCCAGCTCGGCCACCCCCCGCGCCGCGCTCGCCGCCCCGCGAGGCCGGGCACTCGAGGGACCGTGCTGTCCCCGAGCTGCCCACGACCCCCCTGTAGAGCGCTCGAGCGCCTGGCTCCCCTGCCGAAAACCCCTCTCGGTGCGCCCTCCAATTAAGCACAACACAAATGTAACAATTTTCTTCTTGTTAATTGCATCTCTTGACATTTCTGCGCGTTGGGGGGAAAAAAAAGAAGATGAAGAAGTAAGAGCTGAAAGAAAAAAGAGAAGCCCCGCCGCGGCTGCAGGCGCCTGCAAGCGCAGTGCATTGGCAGCGCTCGGCACGCGGAAGGCGCCTTTTTTTTCATATTGAAACCAGGCGGAATATGTACATTTTTTAGTCTTACTTACGCTTTCAGGGGGTTGTGAATGACAGTCGCCATTTTGCTACAATGTAACAGAATATTGTCTGTCTCAGAGTTCTAAAGGTTCGCTCAGGGGAAGCGGCGAGCCAATCAGAGCACGGGATACCGGCCTGCTGGCCAATTGGCGCTGCTGGTCGCCAGATGGGCGGGGCCTGCACGGTGGTAGTTATTAGGGGAGCTGTCAAAGCCCAGAGGTCACTCCCTTTTGTAGAGCCCGAGAGCAAGCAGGTCTTAAAGGGGCAGTACTGCGCGAGCAGCTCCTTTTCGGATTGGAGAAAGTGGAGACGCACGGGAGAGTATTCTAGTTTGGTTTGAGATCCTACTTTCTGAATAATTGCAGAGAGTTTGCGCTTCTGGACAGAAATATTTAAGTATTGCCAACAAACCACTGAACCCCATTCATTAGCTTTTGGCTTTGCTGTTAACGTTTCTAATCCCCCAAAGGACAAATCCCCTTGTTCCCTTGTAGAAGTTGGAAGGCTGCCCTTTCGTCTAACAAATTACTACACGTGCCCAGCCATTTGCTAATGTTCTGGGTCCTAAGGCTTTTTAACATTCTCATTCCCGTAGTGTTTTCTTTATCTCGGCCATCTCTCTCTCTCTCTCTCTCTCTCTCTCTCACTCTCGGTTTCTTGGAACTGCAGCCGCCGTTCCTGGCGACTCCAGGACAGCAACTCCCCTCCCCCTGGAATGTCTCAATGTCAGGCTCGCTCCCTCCTGCAGCCAGGGCTTTCGTTACGTAATGCGCGGTGGTCACTCTGCGCGGTTCCCCACTACTACCTCATCTCATCTACACCCACCCACCCCCCGAAACTTCTGAAACGATCAGATTCCGGCCGGCTGGGGAGCCAAGTGGGACCTGGCGCTCTGACCTTTAGGCTTAGGGACAGAGAAGGTTTAAGAAAACTTTTGGAAACGCTTCCTGCTACTAGGAAAGAGAGTAACTAGACCTAAGGTATTGCCAGAGTCTCTTTCCGGGAGTAGCACACGGGGTTCTGGCGTCACTTTTCACTATTGAGATACAAGGTGGAAAATCTGCTACTGAATAATCCGCTATGACCCGAGGCTTTCGTTGTCTGTGTCGGCTCCAAGTCAGCTTGAACTCCTCACTGGAGAACCCCTGACAAAACTGGGAGACTTCTGTGAAGGCAGGCTTCCACTGGGCAGTCGGGGAAGCTCCCCAGTAGATGAAATCGCACTAAATCATGAATAGGGGCCTCGTTAGTATACAGAAATCTGGCTAACATCCCAAAGTTGTTTAATCAGGTCAAATAGCTAAAATAGCGGGGGAGGGGTTTAAGAAGATTGGAGATGCCAAATTGCCAGTTCTTCGGAGCTGTGCCCTCTCACTTCCTTTCTCAGGGCTCCTCTCACGTCAATGAATTAAAATAATAATAATAATAATAACAACAACAACAACAACAAAGTTCCAGAACTTTCAGAGTTCAAGTCCATACACTGTTAGAGTTACAGAAAAACAGAACAGGGCTGAATGGGTATGTTTGTAAGGCTTGAAATTTAAACTCCTTCTTTCTGCCTAATTAATAGCATAGGCCAGTACTTCTTGTCACCCCCTTGCACAGCATCTTGCCATTTGAAAAAATTATCCATTTTTCTAAAATGAAAGTTTGAAAAATCCCTTTCTTATTAATTTGTCAAAGGAATAGTTCAGAAGCTAGTTCTTAGCCTGGGACGGGGTTTAAGAACATTAAAAAGCAAGCACTGTATTCAGACCCAAGAACTATGATGAGTTTTAAAATATCAGCCAGAACTCCCACCAACCTTTTTGAGATATCAAAACCACAGCAGTTCAGACTGGAAGACAACAGCATATTTTAATATACGCAGCTTGATAAAGGAAGCAATAAATGTGGAGCCTACCCTGAATGAGGCTTACAGTTTAATAGGAGAAGGAAGACAAATTTATATTACAAACTGAAAAGATATATAGACTCTGAACATGTATAATCATGTATGTGTTAAGGCCCAGATGCAGAAACCAGCATAATTCCTAACTATCTGGCACACTTGAAAATGGAAGATCAGATCTGTCTTCACTTTGAGAAATTTTATCCAGAACTTAAACACTTAAGTTGCATTTTATAATGACTGAACTGGAAAAAATAATGAATTAAAGACAATCTTTTTAAAGTAGGCTACTCTTGCTTTTTATAATCTAGTGAATGTCATTTTAAGTCTATCAGTGGTATGACTTTTGAGTAAACAGGAATTGTTGTGAATCCACCTTTCACAATTCTAAGACATAGAAGAGTTATTACCTTAACTTTGGTTTTTATACCATTGATCAAAGTTTTGTTTTGTTTTGTTTTTTCCAATGGTAATGGAAAGAGACTCTCGGTTTGCAAATGGTCTGATCCCTCAGCAGTGAGGCCAGATTTTCCAAATAGGGCTTAAGATGTACTGATCCCGGCCCACAAAAAGCCATATGTTTTTTTGCCAGGACACTCAAAAGCAAGGGTGCTTAGAGTGGACATGTTTAAAGGAGACTGAATCTTGAACAGTTTCGGGGAATGCAAAGCTTCACATTAATTTTGCAAAAAAGTGGTAAATATGGTTAGAAGTATGGACCTCAAAATCTACTTGCCTGAGTTCACCATTACCAGCTGGGGTATCTTGGGCAAGTTTACTTAGCAACTTGAATGTCAGTTTCCTCATCTGAAAAATGGCAGTAATGATGGAGCCTACTTCATAGGACTCTTTTTCAGGACTCACATCAAGTGTCTGGCACATAGCAACCTCTCAATACATGTTGGTTATCATTTTTATTGAGATATTTAATTCCTTCCTGATGGCATAAGGAATGTAGGGGATCTGAACAAAAATGCACAACAAAAATTAAAATTGTCTATCAAGTTTAGTTTTTTAAACTCATGAAATCAAGAAGAATGAACAAAGAACAACTTTCATGTGGGCAAAATAATAAATCAGACTACTTTAGTTAGGAACCATATAACTACTTAAACCCAAAAAATGTCTTCTTGCTGATTGTGATATCAAGACTTTTAAAACCTTCTCTGAAGCTCTGGGTACTCCATAGCTATATATAGATAGAGATTTAAATATACTCCATCCCTTCCCCATCTCTTTCAATTTCCTTTTTTGTTGTTGTTGTTGTTGTTGTTGTTGTTGAGTTTAGTTGCCCATCTCTTTCATCATGATTTAGCTGGTTGGGTAGCTTAATTTGGAGGTCAGAAGGGGCCCAGAATAACCACTCTCCATCCCACCTGGAAAGTCTAGAGCTATGCTATCCAACATGGGAGCTGG